ATGCAACTACAAAGCAAAGAAAGAAGAACCAAACAAATTAGAAGACTGAACTTAGAAAAGAGAATTTGATTTTCTCCAAATTTATGCTTAGGGGTTTAGTGTAATTCCTGTCAAAATTCCAGCCAGGTGGTTTTTTTTTTTTTTTTTTTTTTTTTTTTTTTTTTAGCAAACCGTAGTCAAGTTTATTCTAAAATGCATAAAGGCACAGGCCCCAGAATAACGAAAATAATTTTGAAAAAGGAGTTGGGAAGTAGCAGCCCGCCTGAAGTCAAAGCTCATCCTTCTCTATCGCTGCACCATGGTGTGCTCGAGGGAGGCAGACGCCTTGGTCAGCGGGACAGGGCAGAGCCCAGAGGTGGCCATGCAGGTTTCACTGGCTTCGCTTAGCAAACGTGGAAGAGTCATTCAGTGAGGGAAAGTGGCTTTTCATGAATGACGCTGGAGCAGGTGGATAATCGGTGACCAAACTACAAAAACACTTGTTCTTCTAAACCTCATACATAGATAAAACCTCAAATGAAATGAATTGAATGTAAAGTATAACATTATGAACCTTTAGGAAAAATACATGAGAAAGTCATTGATATTAAAGGTTTGGCAAAGAATTTCTGAACTTGGCACCAAAAGCACAATTCTTAAGACATGAGATCAACTAATTGAACATCAGAATTTCTTTGCTAAAGATTAAAACAAGTGGGTCGAAAAGCTAAACTGCAGACTGGGAGAAAATATTTGCAAACCGCGTAAGTGTGAAGAGTTCTGTTAGAATAATGAACTTCCAAATATCAACAGTAGACATCCAATTCACAAAGGACAGAAAGAGAATAAATAAAAGATGCTTACTGTCAGTTATCAGTAGAGAAATGTAAGTGAAAACTACAGTGAGGCATCGCCACCAGCCCGTCAGAGTGGCTGGGATGGAATTGTGGCAGCACATGCTGCTGGTGCAGGTGTGTTACACAGGACCACTCACGCACTGGTGCTGAAAATGTAAAGTGAGATGGGCTGGCCCTTTCTTAAAAAACTAAGACTAAGCACAGAGTTTGCAGAAGAGCAAAACTTTTTGTTCATACAAAAGCCTGGACGAATCCTCCCAGTAGTTTTACTTAGAGTAGCTCTGTCTTAGTCACTTCTTACCTCTGAGACCCACAACACAAAGGAGGGCAGGTGGTTCTGGTTCACAGGTTTGGTCCTCAGTCAGCTGACTCCAGGGCAGGAAGCACATGATGGGTTGTTTGGTGGAGGACGTCACTTACCTCATGGCTGTGAGGAAGCAGAGGACAGAGAGCACAGACACAAAGGGGGAGCCCAGGAAGCAGATGCACCCTAACAGGTCACACACCCCATTCCTAACCCCCATTTAGCTACAGGCCCCCCGCCCCGTGATTTGCTTGCCTTCCTGAAGTCTTTCTCTGAGTGCATGGGGCTTCAGGAGCCCTCCAGATATAAACATAATAAGCTCCAGATTTCCTGTAAGAGGCAAGTGAATGCTGATGCATCTATATATAAAATGGGATTCTACTCATAAGGAAAAATAAGTTACTGATACACATAAAACTATGGATCAATCTCAAGAGAAATCATGCCACATGAACAAAGCCATACGGGCTGTGTGCTTCCATTGATGTGACTCACTTGAAATGACAAATGGCAGGCAGATTAACATCACCAGCTTTTCAAGGTGGAAGTGGGAAAAGGTAGCTGTTGCCATGCGGTTTCTTCATGGTTGTCATTGTCAGCAAAACCACATACGTGGTGCAGCCACATGAAGCTACATACACACACACACGCATGTGCACACACATGATACTAGTGAAGTAGTATAATCAGAGTAAGGTTGATGGTTGATCAAGGTTAATTTCCTGGCTGTGGAACGGTTCTGTATTTATCTTACACAGTGTTTCGACTAGGGAAACTGGGTGATGCCTCTGTAGGATCCCTCTGTTGCCTCTCACAATGGCATATGAACCTATAGAATAAGATTAATTCATATGCAAAATCCACATGTACTTCTCACACCCACTCAAAGTTAATTCCAGAGGGACCTACAATGTCAGCCTGAGCTAAAATTATACGTAACATAAATTTCAGGACCTTAGAGCACATAGATAGATAATGTTGCAAAAATCGTATGTGTCACCCCCCAAATTTAAAAAAAAAACTATGCTTTAAAAACTATTTTATGCTTTAAGGCATACTATCAAGAAATTGATTTTAGTTTAACATGTTATGCTAGACGTGGGTCTAATTTTAGTATTGGCATGTGGGAGCCAGTTTTTCAAGCACCATTTATTAAAGAGGCTATCTTTCCTCCAGTGAACATGTTTGGCCCCTATGGAAGATAAACTTTTGACTGAGTGTGTCTGGGGTGGTTTCTGCCTCCTCTAATCTATTCCATTGATCCTCAGGTCTGTTTTATTTTGCCAGTACCATGCTAACCTGTTTTTATCACAGTAGCTCTGTGATATAATTTCAAATCAAGGATTGTGATGTCTCCTGCCTTGCCTTTGTTGCCGAGAATTGTTTTGGCTATTCTAAGGCTCTTCTGGTTCCAGATGAATTTTAGGAGTGTTTTCTGTAGTTCTGTGAGGTATGCTAATGGTATTTTGACTGAGATTGCATTAAATCTGCATAGCAATTTTGGGAGAATGGGCATTTCACTGTGTTCCTCCTGACCATGAGCAAGGGCACTCTCTTCATTTTCTCATATCCTCTTTAGTCTCTTTTTTCAGAGTACTGTAACTTTCAGGGCATAATCTTTTACTTTTAGATGGATTCCTAAGTATTTCATTTTTTTGATGCTATTGTGAAGGGTGTGATTCCCTGATTTCTCTCACTGAGTTTTTTGTTTGTGTACAGGAATGTTACTGATTTTTGAGTGTTGATTTTGTGTTCAGCTACACTACTGAATTTGATTATTAAATCTACAAATATTTTGGTGGGTTTTGGGGATGTTCTTTGTAGAGTATCATGCCATCTTCAAATAATGATAATTTAACTGATAATTTAACTTAAATAAAATCAAAATGGACCAAAGATCTAAATATTAAAACAGAAACACTAAATCTGATGAAAGAGAATAGGCAGAACTCTTGAAGACATAGATGCAGGCAAAGATTTCATGAACAAAACCCCAGTTGACAGGAAATAATACAAAGAATCAATAACTAGAATTTCATACTATTAAAAAGCTTTTGCATAACAAATCACCAACAGAGAAAAGAGGCAACCCACAGAGTGGGAAAAATTTTAGTTAGTTAGTTGTCCTTCAGACAAAGGACTTACAAAAAATTAGCCCCCCCCCAATTTAAAGACCCAATCAAAAAACATGGGCATCTGAGATGAATGCACACTCAGATGAAGAAATACAAATGGCAAATAAATATATGGAAAAATGTTCAACATCACAGGTTATTAGAGAGATGCAAATTAAAGCAATGCTGAGATTCCATCTCACTCCAGAAAGAATGGCCAACATCAAGAAATCAATAACAAATGCTAGAAGGAAAAAGGAACTGTTCTCTACTGTTAGTGAAAGTGTAGACTGTTGCAACCACTGTAGAAATCAGTATAGAAATTTCCAAAAAAAACCTAGGAGCTCCCGTGTGACTCAGGTATTCCCCTTCTGGGTATCTTCCTGGAAGAATTAAAAACATCATACTAAGCCGAGTGTGGTGGCTCATGCCTGTAATCCCAGCACTTGGGAGGCTGAGGCAGGAGGATTGTTGCAAGTTCGAGATCAGCCTCGGCTACAAAGTGAGCTCAAGGCCAGCCTGAACTGCATAGCGAGACCCTGTCTCAAAAAAAGACCAAAAAAAAAAAAAAAAAACAAAAAAAACCAACAATAACAACAACAAAAAAACCCCAAAACATCCTACTAGAGTGATACATGAGCACCTGTATTTATAGCAGCACATTTTCTAATAGCCAGATCTTGGAAACAGCTCAGATGCCCATCTACTGAGGAATGGATAAAAGTGATGTGGAGTTTTTTAGTACAACAGAGTATTACTATGCCATATAGAAGGGTAAACTTGAGACATTGTAGGTCAATAGATGCAACTTAGGACCATACTCCTAAGTGAAATAAATGGAATTCACATGCGTAAACACATTGATTACCTGGTGTGAGAAGCTGAAAGAATAAGTTCCAAGATATACAATAGATATTACAAAATGGGAAGAAATTGTTCAAAAGGAAAGAGGAACCGGGTGGTGGAAGGAGTTTTATTTGTCAGAGTGTCTGAAGTAGGCCAATCCACAGAGACGGAAAGCAGAGCAGCCCCGCGAGCAGGCTGGAGCACCTCTTCTCAGGGGCTCCCAGGAAGCAGAAAGGTTATTTGCAGCGACCAGTGCCTGGCACAGTGTGGAACTGTTGACCATGGTAACAGCCACACAGCTGTAAGTGTGCTTAAAAACAGTTGATGAAATCACACTTTGGGTCGCTTGTGTGGTGTTAGAAAGTTACATCTCAATAAAACGGTTACAAAAATCTTAAAATTGTTAATATGCGTATTTATGATGTGATTAGTATTTCATAGTATAGCTTTTAATACCTAGAAAAGCAATGTACTGCTTCTCATTTAGTCAATAATGACTTGGGTGTAGACCAAAATGTCCTTAATGTCACCCGGGAGGTAGGTTTCTTCTGGATAAGTGATGGGTAAACTGGAACCCAAAAGAAACTGCTGTGTGAATTGGCCTGTCACACCCGTGACACAACCAGGCCGCCTCAGCACACACCCGTCCTCACACATATCAGATGTGCCCGTAAAGCACAGAGTGACCTTCCACTAGCCGCAGGCCGTTCCTCCCTGTGGATTAAAGAGCAGCTGCAGGATCTCTTCCACCCTGGTGCTATTTCCTTATTTGAGCTACTGTGTCACTTTTGGAAAGATGCATTCAAGAAAGTACCCAGCCGGTTAGATTTTCTCCTCAATTAGCTTGCTGCGGTCCCTGGGCGGTGCCGGTCAGCTTTATACCCTGCTGTTCACTTGCAGCTTCCCAGCGAGGACCCGGAGGTTTTTGAGGTCTCCTCTAAGTGTCTGTCGGTGCTGGTTCAGCTGTATGGTGGGGAGATCCCGGACAGCCTCTCTCCTGAGAATGCAGAGAGCTTCGCTCATGCACTGTCCTCCCTGAAGGACCCGAAGGACCAGAAGCTTCTGCTGCGGACCCTCAGGAGGATGGTGAGTCCCACAGGTGCCGATGGGGTGGGCAGCTTGTGGGTGGGGCAGCCACGTGGAGGATGTAGCCATGTGAAGGGAGTGACGGTTGGGACCAGAAAAGTCACAAGAGCAGTGGACAACTCCCAGTGGTCGTTCCGTGTGGCCCCTGCTGCTGACAAGGGTGAGAGTCCGGCTGCCTGCAGGTTCACAACTTCCCCTTCAACCCCTTGAGAGAAAGTTCTGGAAACTGCACCCCATGCCCTTCAGTGGACGCAGTGTATTTCCTTGGAAAGGTGCTCAGTGCTTGCCTGTGTCATCAGGCCTGAGCAGTGTGACGTGGACTCAGTTATCCTGCCATGCTGCTGTCCATTCTCCAGTGCTGCCCACTGTCACAGTGACTCCTGTGCTGTTTCTTGAGGGTGAGATGCAGTCTGAATTGTATTGTAGTATGGAAGACTTCGCAGCCCCGTCTGTTTTGCCTGACATTGCGGAACACCGGCCGGCGGTGCTGCCTGCAGCATCTGCCTCTGTGTGGTCTCCCTGCTGCTCCCTGTCCCCAGACCTATGCCTGGCCTGGGTGATGGCTAGTCCTTCTCAGCCCCTAGCCGGGGAGCTTGTGATGTGTTTCCTCCTTAATAGTGGTGCTGACTGAGATCACCTGGTTTAACGGTGTGCTGTTGCTGTTTTAACTCTGTATGAGTGCAGAATGTATGTTTCTGCCACTCGATGCTTCCAGCACCCAGCGTTCAAGGAAAATCTTTCTCTACCGCCCAGTGTACTTCATTTTTTATTTTAAGGATGTATACAGCTGATATGTTTTGGAGGTGCTTGGATGACTGGCTTGGTTTCTTTCCAGAGTAAATCTATTGGCTGATTTTGAGGCCGTGGCTTCCAGCAGCTTGTGTTGACATTAAGGAAGGAGGGGTCATGGTCACCCTCGGGTCTGCTGGTGTGTCCACTGGAGAGCCTGTGTCTGGCCAGCCACGTGGCAGCTGCACTGCACCCCGGAGTTGTACTTAGATGTGAACTTGATGAGAGATGGGTGCAGCTGAGTCTAGGTGACGCGTGGCGGTACTGGAACTCGAAGGGCGGGAGGTCTTTTCCTTCCTGGCTGTGCTGTTGCGCTTCTGCGCCATCCCTTCCCCTCCCAAATGCTACCGATGGAGCCTTGCCTGCGGGCTGGCATGACACTGCGTCTGTGTGATTTCCGGAGTGTGGGCCAGACACTGCTGGGACGGTGTATCTTGAGGTGAGATGACTCCAAGTCACCAGGGAGGTGATTATTTTCTTTTCAGGGCTTCTTTCATTTTCTGATGATTCACGGCAAGTGAAAGTCTTGATTTGATACTGCTTTCCCCATCTAACTGTTCAGACCCTCACTTCCTAACAGCAGTTCTCCAGACTTTCAACTTCTACCGTGAGATAAGGTTCATCCAGTTAAGGTGTCGGTTAAGATTAACCAGCGTAGGTGTCGTCCAACAACATAAAGGTCCCTGAAGGTCCATAAGCCCTGCAGTCCTGGGGCCATCAAGGGTCACAGTTGGTGGCTTCTGCAGTGTGGAGATGGCAGATGGGGGTGGTCACGGCCCATGCCAAAGCATGGATTCCATCGTGCTTATTCTTTCCGGCTTTTATTATGGCCAAATATGTTTAAGGTCTAACCATTTTAAGTGCACAAGTCAGTTGCATTAAGGATGCCAACTTGAATCAGCACCGCCATCCAGCTCAGAATTCTTTCATCTTTCCTAGTGGAAGCTTGGTCCCCACTGGACACCTCCACCACCCTACCCCGCCTCCAGAAAACTGCTGCTCTGTTTTCTGTTTTCTGTGAATTTGATGACTCCTCAGTGCCCCGTCCTGCAGCATTTATTCTTTTAGCTATGCTTATTGCACTTAGTGTAATGTCTTTAAGGTTCATCCACACGGAAAACTTGTGTCCAGATTTCCCTCTGTCTTGAGGATGGAGAGCATTCCGTTGTATGTATTTTCATAGCTCTGTCCATCCATCAAGGGGCATTCAGGTGGCTTTACATTTTTGGCATCTGTTATGTTTTTATCTTATCCCTTTGTTGTTATCAGAAATGATTCAATCCCAGGTTTGGCCACGGGAATCATTTCTGGATGCCGTTTCTGATCCATTGTTCTTCTGGTCCTTGACATTTCTGTTAATGTCCCAATCTCAGGACAGTGACTTCCTAAAGTGATTTTCACCAGCACGCTGAAGAATGAAAAGGGTGTTTAGTCTCTGCTAATGGAGTTGGGATGCTTGGCCCCTAGTATCCTCTTCTTAGTCTGCATTTGGAGCCTTCTGAGAAGGTTGGGAAAGCCTGAAGCCTTAATTATCCATTGCAATTTATAGGAATTTTAGGAGGGTTTATGTTATATTTTGTGCTTCAGCTTTAACAATGTGACAGCTTGGTACGCCTGGGCTTTCCTGTGCAGTGCCTGTGGGTTAGTTCCTGTTTCTTCATCAGCACCAGCTTATTCTGCCCTCGAACCTCAGGCTGCACAGGGCCGCCTGGAATCGGAAGAAATGTCTGGGGCCAAGCACTGTGGAGTAGAGGGGCAGTGGAGGTGCCGTTCTGAGATGATCACATCACAGATGGGCAGCCTCACATGGCCATTTTTGGAGACTGCACCCCAGGCCTGCAGGTGCTCGCACACTGCCCCTTCCCTTCCCATGCGCCCGGCTCCCTGGCCTGTCCCATTCCTCGGGAGCAGACACCCTGCTGCTGTGAGGCGCCCAGCAGAGCATTTCCCCACACACACCTCAACGCTGGAGAGACCAGATGAAGATGCTCAGAAACCTGCAAGCGTTGCTTTCCTCTTTAGGGCCAAGTTGACTTGTAGAAGTCAGAAAAGTAAGGAAAACAGCTTTGAGGCATTGCAAAAAGCCAGATGATGTCCGTCTCCCTCAAATCTTACTATTCTCATGCTTAATGTCTTTGTTCTTATATTTTCTGAAAGGAAAAAAATGGGGCTCAGTTTTAAGCCAGTGAATTTGTTTTCCTTCCTGGCTTTTTTGAGACAAGTTCTTGCTGGCCTTTTTTGAGACAAGTTCAGGCTGGCTTTGAACTTGCAGTGATCATCCTGCCTCAGACAACTCAGTGCTAGAATGACGGTGGGCACCACAACACCAGCAAATCTAGTGAAATTTTTTAGAGCAACACGGTATTCCCAATTTTGCAGAAAGCAAGTGGAACCCGCATTCTAGAACGCAGTCCCTGGGGGACTTTCCCTGGACCACTGAGAGGACACTTGCTCTTTGGGGTCCTGAGAGAGCTTTCTTCGAATCCTCCCATGCAAACCATGTAAGGCTGTGCTAGACAAGCATCCTCTGCCAGAGTTTCCATGGGCTGTACAGGCTCGACTGGAGCTCTTTGAAGGACTTTCCAGTACCTTTCTGACAAAGTAAAGAAATGCCTGTCCTGAAGTGTTCACTTTGTTCCCTGGAAAGACCTTGAGCAGGTGGCGGACAAGGATAGCCCTCTGGACTCAGCCTTCCGTGTGGAGTCAGTGAAGTTGCTGCCTACTGAGGAGCCTTGAGGGAATCTCAGGTCTTCACCATGCTGTCCTGAGGACAAGCCTGTGACAGTGAAAGCGTCCCTGACTCCCTGTGAACCTCTCTCTGGCCCTCATCCCTTGTTCCTCCTCTCTCCCCTCCCCACATACCCGGCCTCCTGACTTGGCTGGCTCCCTATCGTGCTCTTCCTGATCTCGTATTTGTAGCCTAGTACAGTGTAATTCTGCTGCTGCTTTGACCTCTTTCTCAAGAGAATCAGCTTTCCTGCTCCTTCCTGAAGTTCTGGCAGGAGCAATATGTCCCTGCCTTCTCTACAGAGCCTTCTCCTCTTCCAATGACCCACTACCACCAGTGACACTTTTTCCCTCCTTTTATTAGGAAAAGTTTCCAAACAGAAAAATTAACGTGAACATCTATATAAGCAGGATTTGCTATCTTTTTATATATTTGTGTAATGTGTTTTCCAAATTATGTAAAAATGAGGACATTGTAACATTTGACTTCTAAGCACAATATTGCTATCAAGTCTAAGAAAGTCGGTGACTTTAAAATATTACTGTATTAGCCCTTCACTGCTGGACAGAGGGTTCTTTTAGGGCATGGTTTCAGGAGGTTCAGTCCATGGTTGGCTGGCCCCATGGCAGAAACACCATGGCAGAAGGTAAGGTGATGCAAAGCCAGTAGGTCAATGGCGCAGGGAGCAGAGCATGGGGATAGTGCAAGACAGGAAGGGGCCAGGAACCAGGTATAGCAGTTGGGGTTCCCCTGCATGACCACTAGACACCCAGAAGTAAGCTCCATCAACCCCTGGGCTGTTCCCAAAACTAATCTGTTAGAATAAAGTATCACTGTTGTTAATATCTAGTTCATCTTTACCCTGGCCATTAAAAATGACATATAACATTTTAACTTTTTAGCTGTATTCCAACCAAATCACACATGCTGTATTTAATCAATGTTTTCTTGGTCTCTTAACCCAGAAGTGTCTTCTTGGGGTTTACCATCTGATGCTGAATTTTTTAGAAGTCCAGTAGGTTGTTTTGTGGGAAGTCTGTGGTGTTATGATAGCTTCCCTGTGACACTTGGGGTCACAGCACCTCCTGTTGGTCACCTTTGGAGTGTGTGACGCGGCTGTGTTGTGGTACTGTGCTCGGTGCAGGAACCCACGCCACTCCATACCTGTGTATCTTCCTGGGAGAGATGCACTGGTGAATCGCCCTGCTGGACCAACGACTTCAAAACCAAAAGGTAAAAAACTATAAAATTAGAGTAATAGTCGTGTAGCAAAAGAAATGCTCAATTTTTAAGCCTAAAAGAGAAAACATTTAAAATATGAAAGGACCAATGTACTGTTGTTGGTAAATATGAAAACCCTTGAAAATGCAGACGCTCTTCCAGAGCTGCTTCTTGCACGTTATTAATCACTGAGCATCTACTGAAGGGAAGTTGTGCGTGCAAGATGAAGAGTCCCTGGGATTTGTAGTCTCTTACCTTCTAA